TTAATAACCAAAAGTATATATTATACTATAATATATATATATATATATATATATATATATATATATATATAATACACATATAGTATAAAAGTATATACTATACCATATTGCCTGAAAACTGAATATCTTTACGGGAACTGAGTACAAGAGGAACAAATGTGATCATGCAAAAAGACTCCTTTTCACTCTTCTTCTATTCAACATGTTTTTAAAATGGTAGTTTTCTAACAGATTTCAAACGATATCGAATCGTATGTACCATCCATTGAGACAAAATTTGTTACTTATTGTTAATTCCGAAATTGTAGTACTAAATATTCAAACAGTGGTTTCATGTATAGAATAATTAATATATAACGGATGGAAGGACCCTGGTCCATTTAGACTTCAGTACAACTATCTAATTTCTGGCAAGCAATTGTTTCCTTAAGGTCTACAGGAAAACTAATGCTAGAAATAACACCTTATAAAATACAAAGAAAATAATTGATAAATAAAATTATAAATGATTCTCCGCGTATTCATGGTTAGTTATATTTCTATTAGAAAAATCGACCACATTCATATGTTAAAAGTAGTCTTGTCTAGAGTCTGATTTCAAATCTATTAAATGACCCCATGTTTTCCTGCCTCGCATACTAGTGGCTGATGTCAAAATCAGTTCACCAATAGAAGATACTGTGACTTTAACGTAACCTTGCCACAAAAAATTTTGAGATTATACTGTTCCTTTCGCACATATCACTTATTTTCTGTGTATGTTCGGTCACATACTAGATAGTTTATCATAAACGACTTCTTCTAGGGAACAGTGAAAGATTATACTTATCGTTATTAGCCACCAACCACACAGAACACATGCAACAAAAAATAATCTCTCATTAATCGCTTGAATCATAGCAAACTGTAAGAAAGAATATTCATACATCATTTCACAGTCATTTATAATCGTAAATGACTGTGCTATAATACGAACTCAATATTTCATATGCATTTTACATTTGAAGAAGTGATTACAAATTAAATAGTCACTGTTTCGATATACTTTTTCTAAATTCAAAATTTTAACATTCTATTTCCTTGGCCTCGTTTTGATCAGTTACTTGACTACGAGTTAGAATTACATGGTGCCATTTACGAAATCATCTGTTGCCTTCGAAAGATCCTGAAGGCAAGACTCACGACCGCTGTTTTCTTCGAATTAGTCTTCTCTCTCTAATCAAATCCACGCGAATCTCTTGTACAATGAAGTACAGTAGATAAAAAAATGTTACTTTACCAAGAATGCTTTGCTGAGGAAGCCATTTTCCTGTAAAGACGTTTTCGGGCTTATTGGGCATGTCCTTTTCGAACTTCCACACAACTTTATAGGGCAGTTTGGAAAATACGTCAATGAAAATCTGTCGCGTCTCTTTAGGCATGCTCGAGCTCATAACGTTGCTACCCAAACTGAAGTAGATAAATCCTTCGGTCGCGTTATCCACAAAGCGTTTTAGATCCTACCAACACGGAAGACAGGGATAATTATCTTTCTCTGTCGACGAACAACAAAGTTAACGCAAAATGGGCTCGACTCATTCTTGATTCGAACGTCTTGTCGAACGGAGCTTTATCCTAGAGCAAGAAATGATTTTATGTACTAGTTTAAAGAAACTCCGAAAATTTGCTGAGCGAAATTTACATATGATCAGCCATTTTACACGATACTAATTGTACACACTGAACGCGTTCAACTTTGAATATTTTTCCTGACATTTATCGTTCTGATTTTTATCGTTATGACATACCCTTCAACATCGCTGCTTGATTTGGCATAACTCTGGTTTTTCTATTGCTTTCAATTATTCCGAAAGAATTTCAATTGTTATAACCTATAAAGCACATTATCAGAATGTTGAAGATGAAGATAGTGACACACTTTTCTTAAAAAGTTAACAGTTGGACAAGAATCTTTGAATGTCACACAAAATTGTTGGCTAGGATGTTTCAAAGTACAAAGCCTGCTTCTCTCAGAAAGCCAGAGTGTGTATCGATGAATTAAGTAGTGGCAAATGTGAACTATATGTATATCTTTTTTTTTTGTTATGCACTTCATCATATTACATTCAATATGTCGACGTTAATGTAACAGGAACTGAATAATCATTATTTTTCGTAGTTTCTGCAGTAGAATCTGCATATGCAACCGCGCGTAAATATTTCATTTAAAATAGCCTGTGCGAGTTGCACGTAGATCGAATAGATACAAATTATCGGTACACACTATATGTAAACATACCGCGGGCAACGGAGACGGGTTCTCCTCAACTTGGAAAGACGTGAAGGTAATCATATTGGCAAGCTTCGGTCTGGCTGGCGTTATGGCATCGGCTTGGTTGACAAATACAACACTAGTGTTCTTCAGTATGTCCAGCAATGGAGGCAACGGTCCGAAATAGTGTTCTGCTAATTTCTGCTGACGTGGGAAAAGATCACGATAGAGACTGTACAAGAATCGCCAGAGTTTAAGATAATTTCGTAGTCTCTTCCAAAATGGCTGATTCGTCCCCACATTCGCCTCCATTTCCCAGGTGGACTCGTGCGATGGCAATATCAGACCACCGAGAGCGTGTTCGTTCAACGAACACAATCCCAGTGTACTCAACCCTAAAAGTATACGGTGAGATAACAGTATTTTACGTGCCAAAAGAATTTAATTTCCTGTGCAATATAGAAAATTTTAAAAATCGTTTGTTTTTTGACATATTATAGTTTCCAAATGGTATACCACAAAATAATATATAATACATATTTTATTAAAATATAAAAATATCTTCTGATAGAAACAGATGTTCAAATATTCATCGAATTGGCAATGAATTCTAACATTTTGGGCATGTAAGCATCCAAAACTGGTTCGTATATCGAATCGATTAACACGGCGATAGCTAATTGACCGACTACGTGATCGATACTTTAGACTGACTAGAACTATTTTATAGTTATGCGACATTATAGAACAAAGTTTTAGTCTAACTCTTGTTTTCTATTCCTGTTGTATTTCTTACAACCTGCCGAACATGTACGGTCCAATTTGGTGCCACGAAACTTAACAATTTTGCAATATTCGTGATGTCTCTATCGTTGGAATTCATCCTTGACGGACTACAATAATCGATATATTGATTAACGCTTGTACGGCGTGGTCCAATTGGATCACGAGTATAAATATTGTTATTTGACATATAGTTTCAGACCTTCAGACCTTGTATGATCATGTATATGCAAGAGAGAGAAATATCGCGATACTTGGATAATGGAAAAAAGCCATCATTTTCCAAAATGTGAAAATCATGGCTTTATTAAGAAAAATTCAGCATAAATTTATGGGCCACCAGTTGAGATAAAACGGATGACTCTTGAGTAAGGATATTAAGGATATTAAACATTTATTCAGGGTCTCGTCAAGATAGGCTTGTGTCACTAGGGTTCCTTACTTAGGCAATCGAAACAAACGCGAAGAAATACCTATTAAGGGTGCGTCGAATCTATGAGCGAAGGCGTAGGTGGCTGGAATCATGAGCATTTCGACCATCACTACGTCGAACTTCTGGTTGCTGTCGGGTGCGTAGATCGGTTTCATATCTCTGTGATTCAGCACGTGTTCCGTCCAAGCGTCGCTCATTTTAAACATATACCGCTCAAAAAAATTCCAAAAATCGATTCCGTCGAATCGAAGCTGCATGAAATCGATTTCCCTGATAGTATTGTACCCTTTGCCGACGTCGATCTGTTGGAACGTTTTCGGGTCCATGTTCGGGATCGGATTCGATGTAAGAAGCACAATTTCGTGGCCACGCTCGTGCAACTCGAGCCATAGTCTTCGGTATGGAATCTGATGGCTGTAAGATGGCGTCGGGACAAGCGCTAAGATCCTGGCGGGCTGTACTTGGTGGCTGATGCAGAGCAGAACGGCGGTCGAAAGCACNGGGTCCATGTTCGGGATCGGATTCGATGTAAGAAGCACAATTTCGTGGCCACGCTCGTGCAACTCGAGCCATAGTCTTCGGTATGGAATCTGATGGCTGTAAGATGGCGTCGGGACAAGCGCTAAGATCCTGGCGGTCTGTACTTGCTGGCTGATGCAGAGCATGGTCAACACCAAAAGCACAAACGGCAAAACAGAGAACTTCATAGTGCCGAGAATCAACGATCAATCCCTGGCGCTGACTGAGGAACTACTAATCATTGGGTCGCACGCGTTTCCCTTGATTTACGTAAGTTAGTCTTTAGTCTTTATCTTGTAGAAGATACTGCTGACTCATGGTGTCAATGAGGGAAATTAACGCAATTCGTTATCCAAATTAGCACGTCCTGTTGCAATACATTGCATTTTGGCGATATGTTACATTCGGAGTGCCTCGTATCATCAATGGGGGCAACAATGCTTCAAGTGAGATTTAATTTTTCTTGATATCAACAGTTTGGTAACTGCATTCCGAAATACGATGATTTTTAGTATTTACTCTGGGATATTTGATTCTGAAACACCGCTCGAGTTCAATATTATTATATAATTAACTAAATAACGGATTTTCATCAATTTTAAGCTATTAGAATTATTATTAGTGTTATCTTACTAAACTTCTCTTTTACATAATAATTACATTTGTGATACATTTATTTCTGTACCTATTGTCGTCGCCCGGACATAAACAAACGGCAGAGGTATCAAACGGTAAAGGCAGGCTTCGAGCTCTGAGTTCGAACGAACTCGATCGTGATACGACGAGGGTTAAGCATTTTCTGTTCCAATTGAAGAGTAAGTTTTTAAATTATATGGTAAATTAAAATAAATGTGTTTACCTTTTTCATGAATACATGCAACGTGCTGCCTACATGTGACATTTAGGCAGTAAAAATATGAAAATATACACATGAGATAAGCGAACATAATTAGTGACTCCCTGCGGACAAGCTATTTTTGTTAACGATGTACGTAGCTATGTAAAAATATGAGGGATCGACCGACACATATATATTGAGCACTTATAAATAATATAGTACGACGAGATCTATGTTCGTTAATCTCTAATTCATTATCACCTGTTTATGAACATTTCTCCTTATACTCAATATTTTCAAAATAGCCTAATATATCATCCGAAGATTTGAAACATCTCTCATCATTAAGCTATCATTAATTCGATTTGTATTTTCTTAAACGGTGCTGAACATTCCGGTTCAATAGTAAACGGAAACATTGAAATCAATGCTTGTTTAGTTGAATAGAAAGGGATGTTTGCAACCATTTACACAATGGTTGGAAGCATTAAACTCAATGCACGCCGTAGATAAGAGGTGTAATAGACACAATGGTCGAGAGATAAAACGGTGATCACTAGTAATATTTATCGGTCAACGAATCGAATATTATATTGGAACACTTGCTAAAACAAAAAATTGAAAGAAACCGGAAAGAAATCGAATTTAGAAATTTTAAATTATAGCAAATAAAATTATCAACTGATAACATCAAATGATTTCCCATGCGAAAAGTATTTCATATTAGAGATGCGAAGAACGCTAGAATGCTGAAGGAGAGTGTGAAAAGAAGATAATAAGTAGATTTCATGAAAATGTTTCCTTTTCGTTACAATTAAAAAACATTTCTTACAAAAGAAACATTTATACTCTTTTTTTATTTACCTTCGGTAGATACAATTATATTGAACATCGTTACATCATTCAGGGATTAACATTCATTACTGCCGCAGATACAATAAATCCAATCGATTGAACCACGTCCATGCCGCTAGTACAAAGAACATGAATCGTAAAGTTGTACATTGCATTCCTCGATTCTCATACATCATATATTTACGTATATACATAGTATATCATTTACATAAGATATTCTGAATCATTTGAACTATAATCGAATAAATTAATAAGTTAACGCTTGCGCATAGTTTAAGCAATTATGGCACGATCTGTTCGTAAATTGATTACTCCACATCAAGTATCTTCATGGTTCCGATTGAAGCAGTAACCACAAAAGCAATCAGCCTAATTTGCTATAAAATGCATAACAAATAAAAACTGATGAATTTGCCATTATGCTAGTATCATACCTTTCTGTTTTATCGATATACAGCTATTTAATTTTTTGTTTGCTGTGTGGAGATATCCTGTGGTAATAATTGTACCACCGCACAGCCATTTTCACGATGATACTAGTTATACTTAAAATTATTAAAACGGACACTATCGTCAGGAATACCACGATGTCCATGTCGCAACGTTGGTACCATGGTTGATGAGCCAAGCTTGAACGAAGATGGGGGGCACCTTTATTGCGAATCACATATTCAACCCACCATGCTAGGTACTCCACCATATTGTACGGAGTAACATTCACGAGCTCTTTTAGTGCGATTATCTTTTCTTTGTATCTGAAAAAGACAAAATAAAATTATACCATATTGTATGATTTCATCAGACTAGCTTAACAATATTGTTAACCTAGATTCTATTACTACTAATTATTTCTTTAATAATAATTCGTACAGTTCACGATGTTTGCTTTAATGTGAGTTGACAATGTAATGGGTTTAACGATAAAAATATTATAAAACATTAGTACTATTTCTTCGAGAAATACATATTTTTTTTATAATTATATAACTTGATGTAAAGTTATCGAGTAGGCTCTCTCCTTTATGAAGCTAAACTGTTGCTTTAAAAATTAAACAAATATAGAACGAATTTCTATATGTATTTCAATAAAAAAAGTTTTACCAAGAGATACATCTTTGTATACAGAGATCGTTTGCATAAGTTTGAATACTCACTCTTTATTGGTTATGATTTCTCGTATGGTAGCCTCCAATTCCTCTCTCGTGATAGTCACGACGTCCATGTATTTTGCGACACCGAGAGCATCCATCCTGAGCACTTGGTAGTCTTGATCCGCTAATATCGGTAATCCTATTAGTGGTACCGAAAAGTGTACCGCTTCCTCAGAGCTTTGTAGTCCTCCTTGGTAGATGAACAGCTTAATATTGGGATGCGCTGTGTAACAATATTCCACGATTAATAATCAAAAGTCTACTTCTATACTATATTAGTGAGGCATTTTATTTTATTTACTTGACTACTAATCTGCTGTTTACAAAATCATCTTTTATCATTACAAGATCGTGAAGAGGAAAGACTCACGACTGCTTTTTTCTTCGAATTCGTTTCCTCGCTAATGAATTCCACGCGAATCACCATGTATAACGAGAATACAGCAGATTGAAAATGTGACCGTACCAAGAATGCTTTGCTGAGGAAGCCATTTTCCAGTAAAGATGTTGTCGGGCTTGTTGGGCATGTCCTTCTCGAACTTCCATACAACTTTATAGGGCAGTTTAGAAAATACGTCAAGGAAAATCTGTAGTGTCTCTTTAGGCATGCTCGAGCTCATAACGTTGCTACCCAGACTGAAGTAGATGAATCCTTCGGTCGCGTTATCCAGAAACAGTTGTAGATCCTACCAACAAAGAAAACAGGGATAATCATCCTCCTCTATCAGCGACCGACGATGGTAACGCAAAGAAGGTGCGACTCATTACAAAGCAAGTTTATCCGACGCGCTTGACGCACAGGGCTATGCTCTACAGTGTACAGGAAATGTTAAGAACTGATTTTATGTATTGCAATAATTAAATAAATAAACGAGAGGAACATTGAAAACTTTGTGTTGAATAAAACTTGGAAAATGGCTGAGCGAAATTTGCCTTTGATCAGCTATTTTAGACGTTACAAACTGAACATTGAATTGAACTGAATATTGAACACGTTCAAGTTTCAATAGTTTTCTTGATACAACCTTTTAATATTTTCTTGATAATGTATACATGTGCAGAGTTCTAATATCGTCAATATATCGACATTCGTTCTGACAGTTAATATAACAGGAACTGAAAGATTATTATTTTTAATGTTTTGTAATATTTAATTTAAAATGGTCAGTGTTAGTAGCATGTGCATCAAATAGGTGCAAATTATCGGTATGCATCATGAGGTGCATGTACAACGAATAAATGCATCGACACACATTTTATGCATACGTACTGCCGGCAAAGGAGTCGGGGTTTTCTCAACGTGGAAAGACGTGAAGGTAATCATATTCGCAAGCTTCGGTCTGGCTGGCGTTATGGCATCGGCTTGGTTGACAAATACAACACTAGTGTTCTTCAGTATGTCGAGCAATGGAGGCAAAGGTCCGAAATAGTGTTCTGCTAAATTCTGCTGACGTGGGAACAGATCACGATACATAACGTACAAGAGTCGAGAGAGTTTAATATAATTTTGCAGTCTCCTCCAAAATGGTTGATTCGTCCCCACGTTCGCCTCCATTTCCCAGGTATATTCGTGCGATGGCAATACCAGACCACCAAGAGCGTGTTCATTGATAGATAACATTCCCAGCGAGCTCATTCCTAATAGCATACGGAGAGATGATAATATTATGTATGCAGATTAATAGAATTTTGCGTGCAACATAGTATTCTCAATAGAATAATTTAATAATTATTTTGGTCTTTTTTACGTAATTTTCAAACGATAGCTAACTTCTTTTTGATAGCTTTTGTAGTTTGTGCAGAAGAGAGTCGGTTCAGACAAAACGGTTGATTTCTCCCTTAAAGTAAAAAACGCGTGAGAACAAAATACGGCTAAATTTTTGAGTAGGTATGTTAAACTCTTATTCAAAAATTCATTAAGATCGACGTGTATCACCAGTTTCCTCTCTTACACATACAAAACAAATCTGGAGAAATACGTACCTATTAAGGGTGCGTCGAATCTATGAGCGAACGCGTAGATGGCTGGCATCGCAAGCATTTCGGCCATCACAACGTCGAACTTCCGGTTGCTGTTGGGCGCATAGATCGGCTTCATATCCGTGTGATTTAGCACGTGTTCCACGAAGACATGGGCCATGCTGAACAGATACTCTTCCACGAACGCAAGCCATTCGACCTTGTCGAATCGAAGGTGCATAAAGTCGACTTCCCTGATATCCTTGTACGCTTCACTGATGTCAATCTGTTGGAACGTCTTCGGGTCCATGTTTGGGATCGGGTTCGATGTGACGAGCACTAATTCGTGGCCGCGTTTGTGCAACTCGAGCCATAGTCTTCGATATGGGATCTGATGGCTGTAAGATGGCGTCGGGACAAGCGCTAAGATCCTGGCGGNCGAGCTCATTCCTAATAGCATACGGAGAGATGATAATATTATGTATGCAGATTAATAGAATTTTGCGTGCAACATAGTATTCTCAATAGAATAATTTAATAATTATTTTGGTCTTTTTTACGTAATTTTTAAACGATAGCTAACTTCTTTTTGATAGCTTTTGTAGTTTGTGCAGAAGAGAGTCGGTTCAGACAAAACGGTTGATTTCTCCCTTAAAGTAAAAAACGCGTGAGAACAAAATACGGCTAAATTTTTGAGTAGGTATGTTAAACTCTTATTCAAAAATTCATTAAGATCGACGTGTATCACCAGATTCCTCTCTTACACATACAAAACAAATCTGAAGAAATACGTACCTATTAAGGGTGCGTCGAATCTATGAGCGAACGCGTAGATGGCTGGCATCGCAAGCATTTCGGCCATCACAACGTCGAACTTCCGGTTGCTGTTGGGCGCATAGATCGGTTTCATATCCGTGTGATTTAGCACGTGTTCCACGAAGACATGGGCCATGCTGAACAGATTCTCTTCCACGAACGCAAGCCATTCGATCTTGTCGAATCGAAGGTGCATAAAGTCGACTTCCCTGATATCCTTGTACGCTTCACTGATGTCAATCTGTTGGAACGTCTTCGGGTCCATGTTTGGGATCGGGTTCGACGTGACGAGCACTAATTCGTGGCCGCGTTTGTGCAACTCGAGCCATAGTCTTCGATATGGGATCTGATGGCTGTAAGATGGCGTCGGGACAAGCGCTAAGATCCTGGCGGGCTGCACTTCGTGGCTGATGCAGAGAAGAACGGCGGTCGAAAGCACAACCGGTGGCAAAGGGAATTTCATTGTGCCGAGTTTCAACAATCCGTTCGAGGCGTTAGTTGCGGAACTACTAATCGTTGGATCACACTTGTCCGTTGATTTACGTTCGCTGATCTATACGATAGAGCTGTATCAGTAGTGCAATCTGTCGGCAATACTGTCGAGTCATGGAGCCAGTGTGGGAAATTGACGCAATTTGTCAACAATTATAGCACGTTCTGCTGCAATTCTTAGGATCTTGATAAACATGTGATCGATACAATCGAAGTAAAGTATCATCGATAGAAGCGACGGGGATTCGAGAGGGCTTTACTTTTTTTTTAAATAACGGTTTCAGAATTGCATTTCAAAATATGACGGTTTTTAGAAATTACTTTTTAGAATCTCTGGTATATTTAATTTTCGAGCGTGCACGAATTGTGTGTGGATTGTTAACTGTATAACAGATTTTTATCAATTTTATACATATTAAGCATTTTCTGCTTCAATTGCAGTTTAATAGGTTTAAAAACATGAAAATGAGGTTGATGCTGCTATATGGTTCAATGAAAACCAAGCAGAATCACTCACGTTTCGAGAAAATAGTTTATTACAATTTACCCCGAGCATGAATTTGCACATTTCATCTTTGCAATCGAGACAATATAATTCGAATTCATAAATTGTACATACATTAAAGTAAGATATCTAGGGATTCGTAAACAACAAAAACGCAAAAATTCAAACGATTTATAATAACGATTCATTGTAAAAGAGGTATTGACACAAAATTTATATAGGCAAAGCAAATGGTAATGGTAATTTGGATGTTCGACTTAAGACGTACATGCGATGTTCAAATGTATCAACAATAATAACGCTAATAATATTATCAAGTTATCTCTATACATATAATGATAAACATTTCTTAGGAAAGAAACATTTTTAACCTTCTCTATTTACATCCTGTACATATAATTATTTTGAACACCGTTACATCATTCGGGCATTACCATTGATTAATGCCGTAGATACAAGAAAACAAATCGATTATGCTCCCAACTATGCTCCTTTTACTAGTACAGAAACATAAACCGCGTCAAGTGGTACGTTGCATTCTCCAATTCTAATTAATCATACATTTACATACTTAGCACCGTTACATATACTATTCAGAATTATTTGATCTATAATTATCTAAATTCGCAACTTTAAGTTTAAGCACAATTTCAAGAATACCGGTTTGCTGTGGCCACAAATTATTTACTACACATCAAGAATCGATCAGTCTATTTTACTAGTACGATGTTTTCCGTAAATCATTGAAAGTTCCAACTTTTTGTTTTATCAATTTCTAGCTATCTAATTTTTTGTTTTCCGGGTGGAGATATCATTTGGTAATATTTGTACCATTGCACAGTTATTTTCGCTATGATGCTCGTTATGCTTGAAATGATTAAAACGGACACTATTGTCAGGAATACTACGATGTCCATGTCGCAACGTTGGTACCATGGTTGATGAGCCAATTTTGAACGAAGGTGGGAGGCGCCTTTATTGCGAATTACGTACTCGACCCACCATGCTAGGTACTCAACCATATCGTACGGGGTATCATTCACCAGTTCTTTCAGTGCGATTATCTTGTCTTTGTACCTGGTAAAAATGAAGTAAAATTGTACCTCCTTGTCAGATTACATCAGACAAATTAAAGAATATTGTCAACCTATGTTCTATCGCTTTCAATTATTTCTTTAATAGTAATTCGTACACTTAGCGAAGTTTGTTTTAAAATCAATTGATAATATAGTGTATTCAATGATTACAATATTATTAAACATTAATATTATGCCTTTGAGAAATATTCGATTAACGTTTTTGTGATATAGAAACTGTTAAAAGTAGCGATAATCGCAATTTTTTACAACTTTCAACCGATAATTGCAATAAATTTTGAGATTTTCACATCAATTTCAATGTCTCTAGTATGTCTTGCCTGTAGCTGATTTCGATGAAATATTCAGCATCTATATATATTACCTAAATCTACAAAATGCATTCTTTAAATTACCGTTGTGGATAAAAAAGTTTAAAGAACACCATTGCTTAATTTCTGTGTCATCACAACCAAATGCAATTCTTGAAAACAATTTTGTAGCAATTGTCTAGTAAACTCCTCTAACGTATCAGGAAGATTTAGACTGTTTGGCGCGATTATACAGAAGTTACTCCACTTTAAAGGCGTTCGAATACTTTCGTGAATTTGTGTACGTATCTTGATTGCGAATTTATTATTAATTAGAAAGTACTTTGTTCACCAAGAATTTGCTTTAGCATTCTGTAATTCATGTGTTGTTTTAAAAATTTATATTTTTAAACCAAGCAATTTTCAAAGATAAAGATTGATATTCTATATGTATTTCAATAAATAAGTTGTATTAATAATAATATATTTTCGTGTACGAGGTGGTAAATTTGAATACTCACTCTTTATTAGTTATCATCTCCTTAATGGTAGTCTCCAATTCTTCTCTGGTGATAGTCACGATGTCCATGTATTTTGCGACACCGAGGGCCTCCATTCGAAGCACTTGATAGTCTTGATCCGCTAATACCGGAAATCCTAACAGTGGTACCGAAAAGTGTATCGCTTCCTCACTACTTTGCAGACCTCCTTGGTAGATGAACAATTTAATATTGGGGTGCGCTGTATAACAATGTTCCAAGGTTAATAACCAACAGTCGATTTCTATACAAGTTTCACGAGGTATCGAGTAACTGATCATCTTTATAGGAATTGAAGTTGAACGGTTCAAGAGGGAATGTGACTACGCAAATAGACTCCTGTCGATTCTTCTTGTCGTCAACGTCTCGAAAAATGGCGCCATACAAAATCACCCACAACAGAGAATCAAGAAATAATCTCATACAATTAAGCGCCTGAATCATAGCAAAACATCGCCATTTTGTACATTTAACTTGACTGGAAAAGAATAATTGCATCTTCTGGAAATGCTAGTGCTTCATTTTAACCATAAACGATCGTGCTATACCAAAAGTCCAATATTCGGTATGCATTTTATAGAAGTAATTACAAATTAAATTCTGACGGCTTCATTACATTTTTTCTAAATACCGAAACATAGTATCGTTTTATTTTGTTGCTCTATAATCAATTCCACATGAATCGCCTTTTATATCGAGAACTCATCAGATAAAAAATAAGACTTTACCAAGAATGCTCTGCTGCGGAAGCCACTTTCCAGTATAGATGTTGTCGGGCTTGTTGGGCATGTCTTTTTCGAATTTCCACACAACTTTATAGGGCAGTCTGGCAAACACCTCAAGGAAAACCCCTAAGGTCTTTTTTGGCATACTCGAGCTCATAGCGTTGCTACCCAGACTCAAGTAGATGAATCCTTCGGTCGCGTTATCCAGAAAGCGTTGTAGATCCTACCAACAAAGAAAACAGGTATAATCATCTTCCTGTGTCAACGATCGACTAAGTTAACGCAAAGACGGTGCGACTCATTACTAAGCAAGTTTATCCGAAGCGCTTGCGCACAGGACTTTGCTCCACAGTGTACAGTAAATGTTAAGAACTGATTTTATGTATTGCAATAATTAAATAAATAAAGGAGAGGAACATTGAAAACTTTGTGTTGAATAAAACTTGGAAAATGGCTGAGCGAAATTTGCCTTTGATCAGCTATTTTAGACGTTACAAACTGAACATTGAATTGAACTGAATATTGAACACGTTCAAGTTTCAATAGTTTTCTTGATACAACCTTTTAATATTTTCTTGATAATGTATACATGTGCAGAGTTCTAATATCGTCAATATATCGACATTCGTTCTGACAGTTAATATAACAGGAACTGAAAGATTATTATTTTTAATGTTTTGTAATATTTAATTTAAAATGGTCAGTGTTAGTAGCATGTGCATCAAATAGGTGCAAATTATCGGTATGCATCATGAGGTGCATGTACAACGAATAAATGCATCGACACACATTTTATGCATACGTACTGCCGGCAAAGGAGTCGGGGTTTTCTCAACGTGGAAAGACGTGAAGGTAATCATATTCGCAAGCTTCGGTCTGGCTGGCGTTATGGCATCGGCTTGGTTGACAAATACAACACTAGTGTTCTTCAGTATGTCGAGCAATGGAGGCAAAGGTCCGAAATAGTGTTCTGCTAAATTCTGCTGACGTGGGAACAGATCACGATACATAACGTACAAGAGTCGAGAGAGTTTAATATAATTTTGCAGTCTCCTCCAAAATGGTTGATTCGTCCCCACGTTCGCCTCCATTTCCCAGGTATATTCGTGCGATGGCAATACCAGACCACCAAGAGCGTGTTCATTGATAGATAACATTCCCAGCGAGCTCATTCCTAATAGCATACGGAGAGATGATAATATTATGTATGCAGATTAATAGAATTTTGCGTGCAACATAGTATTCTCAATAGAATAATTTAATAATTATTTTGGTCTTTTTTACGTAATTTTCAAACGATAGCTAACTTCTTTTTGATAGCTTTTGTAGTTTGTGCAGAAGAGAGTCGGTTCAGACAAAACGGTTGATTTCTCCCTTAAAGTAAAAAACGCGTGAGAACAAAATACGGCTAAATTTTTGAGTAGGTATGTTAAACTCTTATTCAAAAATTCATTAAGATCGACGTGTATCACCAGTTTCCTCTCTTACACATACAAAACAAATCTGGAGAAATACGTACCTATTAAGGGTGCGTCGAATCTATGAGCGAACGCGTAGATGGCTGGCATCGCAAGCATTTCGGCCATCACAACGTCGAACTTCCGGTTGCTGTTGGGCGCATAGATCGGCTTCATATCCGTGTGATTTAGCACGTGTTCCACGAAGACATGGGCCATGCTGAACAGATACTCTTCCACGAACGCAAGCCATTCGACCTTGTCGAATCGAAGGTGCATAAAGTCGACTTCCCTGATATCCTTGTACGCTTCACTGATGTCAATCTGTTGGAACGTCTTCGGGTCCATGTTTGGGATCGGGTTCGATGTGACGAGCACTAATTCGTGGCCGCGTTTGTGCAACTCGAGCCATAGTCTTCGATATGGGATCTGATGGCTGTAAGATGGCGTCGGGACAAGCGCTAAGATCCTGGCGGNATTCCCAGCGAGCTCATTCCTAATAGCATACGGAGAGATGATAATATTATGTATGCAGATTAATAGAATTTTGCGTGCAACATAGTATTCTCAATAGAATAATTTAATAATTATTTTGGTCTTTTTTACGTAATTTTTAAACGATAGCTAACTTCTTTTTGATAGCTTTTGTAGTTTGTGCAGAAGAGAGTCGGTTCAGACAAAACGGTTGATTTCTCCCTTAAAGTAAACAACGCGTGAGAACAAAATACGGCTAAATTTTTGAGTAGGTATGTTAAACTCTTATTCAAAAATTCATTAAGATCGACGTGTATCACCAGTTTCCTCTCTTACACATACAAAACAAATCTGGAGAAATACGTACCTATTAAGGGTGCGTCGAATCTATGAGCGAACGCGTAGATGGCTGGCATCGCAAGCATTTCGGCCATCACAACGTCGAACTTCCGGTTGCTGTTGGGCGCATAGATCGGCTTCATATCCGTGTGATTTAGCACGTGTTCCACGAAGACATGGGCCATGCTGAACAGATACTCTTCCACGAACGCAAGCCATTCGACCTTGTCGAATCGAAGGTGCATAAAGTCGACTTCCCTGATATCCTTGTACGCTTCACTGATGTCAATCTGTTGGAACGTCTTCGGGTCCATGTTTGGGATCGGGTTCGATGTGACGAGCACTAATTCGTGGCCGCGTTTGTGCAACTCGAGCCATAGTCTTCGATATGGGATCTGATGGCTGTAAGATGGCGTCGGGACAAGCGCTAAGATCCTGGCGGCCTGTATTTGTTGGCCAACGCAGAGCAAGCCGAAGACCGATAGCACAACCGGCGACGGATTGAACTTCATAGAGCTGAGATTCAACGATCGAGTGCCGCTGCTGGTCGCGGATCTACTATTCGTTGGATTGCACGTTCGCGTGGATTTACGTACGTTGATCTTTATAAAGCTGCAGGTTCAGTATTTCAATTTGTAGATGGTACTGCTGAGTCATAGAGCCGGTGTGGGAAATTCACATAATCGTTATTCATGGTAGCATGTTCTGAGGATCTTGGGAAAATGTGAATAATACGTCCGGATTGCCGCGTATCATCGGTGGAGCTGGCCACGGGTCAAGTAAGCTTTATTTGTTTCTTCAATATCAACAGTTTCGTAATTACATTCGGAAATATAGTATATTCTCTCCTATTGTCTCTCTCAGCTTGTAAAGAAAAGTGGATAATTTAGAAAGAGCAGACAAGATTATTGGAACCACACGGTTCGTTTTTATAGTTGCCAATTGTAAACAATTATAAAAACATGCCACATATTTCATATCGTTTACAAGCTGAGGGACAATTTGAGAGAATTCAAAGAGTATGATAATTTTTAGTATTTATTATACTTTGGGATACAGTAAATTCTTCCTAATTGACGCACAGATTGTACAGATATATGGACAATTTGGGAAGAGGTGATACAATTATTCGAACCTTGCGACTCGTTTTTGCAATGGCCGATTGTCAACAACCAGAAAAACGTGCCGCAAGGCTCGAATAATCGTATCTCCTCTTCCCAAATTGTCTATTTCTCTGTACAATCTGAGCATGAATTAGGGGGGATTTACTGTACTTGATTCTATTATATAACATGTACAAATCGAAAATAATAATTAACTAGATAACAGATCTTCATAAATTTTACGCATTTTCTGCTTCACTTGCGGCTGAATAGTTTTAATACGTTGTAAATGAGGTAAGAGCTTTTTAATTGTGTGCATGTATTTATTGTTTTCCATATTACATATCTACTTACACCCGGCTGGTTTGTGAGGGATCAAGTTAGCTTCTGGCCTACGCTCCTTTTTGACTGCTGACCGATAACACATCATGTATCATGGTTGGAATGGTGTGCATACGAGGTGTGTGATACCTACTTGAGAGGGGATGGCATGTATTTTCCGATAGCCAGTCGCGTTTAGGGGTGAGTGTGTACGGTTTCTGTGAAAGTGGTATGCGTTTCCGGTCCCGATCGTGTAAAGGCGATGGGTTTCGATTATACTGTTGTTATGAATACATGCTATCTGTTCTCTACACGTGACATTTATGCACGAAAAATATGAAATACGCAACTCTGCTTCCAAGCCTTCCGTCCTCAGCAAATACGGGTAGAAATAGTAAAATCTCCGTCCTAAAAACCAATACTTTTTTTAATTCTTCCTTCCTTCGTTTTACGTTTTGTATATATAAGATCGACTGTGAATAAGTAACATAGCAAACTATTGTCAAATGAGATGAAACATTATTGGTATTATTATTATCATTCACATTACGACAACTTGAATTAGTAAACATAAGCAAACACAGATTCCAGGAAACGAGAGTTTCCTGAGTTCATTCGAAGTAGCTTTTTCCTTAGCGAAAACGCAATCCGCGGCTTTATTTACGAGTTATTGACGAAAAACAGCGACCAATGAGAGGCGGGATCGGCGCGAGGCGGCCAAGCCAATGAACAAAACCGGACAAAGCTGCGTATTGCATTTGCACTAAGGAAAAAATTACTTCAAATGACCTCAGGAACCCCCCATTTCCCGGAAGTAGCATAATTTGAGACACCCTGTATATCGAACGAAAATCAATCCGTTGTTATTTCGTATTTTCTTCGAATTTTGTAATGGAGCATTTTTGAGCCTTTGTTTATGTGACATATTTTTCTTTATGTTCGGTCATAGAATATGCTGATACCGCTTTTGGCCGGAAAAATCTGGGAAATCCTCTTTTTAGAATAATAATAAGAATAAATACAGTACAAAAGATTGTTAATTTCATGACAAGTACGCGTTTCATTTCCTACAAACAAAAAGTGTTTACCAGAAAAACTATGAAAATGCTACAAAAAAACAATTAAATAGAGAGACTGTTAAGAATTTGTATAACATTCTGTCAAGCAAAATATTGAGGTTGGTAAAGCCTAAAGGTAGTAGTAATGCAATAGCTAGCAATAAGGATTACAAATCACACCGTCATGGATTTCTAGACAGCGCGTAAAGATACGTCATTCAAAGCAAACAGCAGCATTCTTTGGGGAGAAATTATATGGTTCCTGCATAAAAAATTGATGTCTCTAAACATTATCACAGACTGTACATACTATTTGGTCGTGTGTCTCGCGCACGGTGTTTATCGTGCATGTTCGCGGTGTGAACGATGCCATAAATCGTTTTGTTTACTAAATTCTATCAACTGTGTACATATTAACACGGAATGATTTGAAACTTCTGCCAGATCAGCCTCTTTCGGGATTACACTTCTGTCAACAGTGCTGAATTTGCGTATAGCTCGACTGTACGATCTTTTTGAAAGCAATCTTCTTTGAGATAGATTAGACTCTCGAGCAACGCATTTTAAAACACACTTCTTGCCTTACATTCAAACTAAAAGTTTCGAAATAAAACATACTATTCAATTCCGTTTGATGCTCCCAAATACTTTCACGCAATGGCGGAAAGTGAAATATTTTGTATTGCATATAAATAATAATAATAATAATAATAATAATAATAATAATAATGGATGGTTATACAAATTTAACCGTGCTACGGTGTTTTAACTTGTATAATTTTTTTATGCAAAGCGCGTCACAAATTAGTTCCCATGATTTTTCTGCCATTTCCGATTGGTCTGACAAAAAAAAATTAATCTGTATTTAACCAGCTCTATTATGATCTTGAGATGACATCGAATTGAAAAACCATCTCGAATCTATTCAAACTTTTTGAAGGATATGCGCGTATTTTTATAGTCGGGTTTATATAAATCGAACGCCATTAATATGATTTTATGAACACTGAAGAAGAATTAAGAGAAGATTTGCAAAAGGAGTTTTATGTTTGACACCCGAAATCCATGATGCCACTGATGTATCACTAGAAGATAAGATGTTAATAAACCTGAAAATAAATCGGTAAATCTCGAATTCTTTCTTCATATCTACAAATCGTTGATAACATCGATTCATCGTCCATATTTTTAACTCTCCAATTTGTCAGACTGATACAATTAAAAAGGCCAATCAGACTGATCTTATCGGACATTATTTCTAGCCACAGAGATACAAAACTGTAAAAAGGAAATAAATCAACAGATAGAGTTTACAGAGGCATACTTCGCAGTATCTTTAACGCAATCAGCCACAAATAGCTAACATCAGAAATTGTACCTATCAAAACCATTTACAAAAATCGAGATAGTAGTTTCAAGTGGGCCATTCTGTATAGTAGTAGTAGTAGTAGTAGTAGTAGTAGTAGTAGTAGTAGTAGTAGTAGTAGTAGTAGTAGTTGTAGATGCTGCCTCCAGGTATACATCCAAATTCCCCAGATCGTGAACATGGTAACTTTCGTTTCACAATCTCAAAATATCCATGAATCGGCATCAAAGAACACTTGAACAGCGCCGACGACTCTATCGGACGCGGCTAGCCATGCAAATAGATTCTGATTGGAGGAGAGGAATCGACACCGAACCGGTAGCGGTGAATTTGCAACGCAATATGGGAAACCAAGAGACCGTTCAAGTAAAACGATTTTCGGTTGAATAGTGAAATCCGCACGAAAGTATAGGAGCTCGTCATGCCACGAGCGTCGAACCGTGCAGCCCGTGAAAAAAGAAATAGCCAGTAGCGGCATCCGTCAGCTCGTTTTCTCCGAGGCATGATATTTTCCTTGCACTTTTCCGCCGGTTTGCAAGCGAATCATCGGCCAGCGACGCGCTGACCAGGAAAGTGAAATCCCACGGTGTAGCGGTCTGTCGCAATGTAACGCGAAGCAGAACGATTTTCTGCGTCCGACTTTGTCAAGTTTCTTAACCTGTCCTGCCGGGGTACCGAAACCCCCACTGTCCCCCGCTAAGTCACCGATAATTGCCCAGCCACGATACCGTGGCGCGAGGAATTCAATTTCATCGAAGCCGGTAAAAAGACCGTTCCGGACAGCTTTTCACGCGAGAACACCAAAATTGGATTCCTCCGAGCGATCCTGCCGCGACGGTTGCCATCGATCGGTCGCGCTATCTCCTTCCGACTTAGGAACAAGAACGCTTCGACGACGAATCCCGATGGTTCGGTATGGCCCAATAGATTACGGGAAAGGACAAGAGATTGATAAGAACTGGATTCGACGAGTCGTTAGATCAGTGTTTAGAACTCGAGTAACAGGGCTAATAAGAGGAAAACGCTCCATTTCACCGTGTACTTCCTCGTACATAGTTACAGCTCCATCGAAGTACGCGGATGATGGTACATTCGAGTATATAAATATACATACAGTAGTTGATATGTTATAAATATCTATACTTTCTTTATATGATTTATAAGTGTCCAATAAAATATCCGAATATTCAATTTTTACGTAACTAATTTCTGAAACGAATATCTAGAATGATATCGTACCGAATGATATCGTTGTGACGACGAAATAAATGTTTTTCTTCCTAATTCAAATAGCATTTAGATTTATTACAAATTTGTAACCTTAAATTTCCCGAAACGTGTAAGCGTTAACTTAAACATCGACGCGTCTGTAAACGTATAATAATAGATTATCTTGTTATCTTACACAAGGTTAATAATGCATTTTTAATGCATGCACAATGTCTGGTGGTGATCACCACTTTCATTAGTGATTTTATATTTCTGTACTATGGACTATATTTTGCTATTTGAGTTTTCCGTACCGATATATCGAATGAAATCTTAATTGGTAAGCGGTAAAATATGTAGGTTAACGGTGGTATTATAAGTGCAGTTTTGTAGTGTCTTGAGGAATATTCGTTGAATATTATTCGATAAAGAGGCGTCATTACAATGATTCTTGTAGTTGGAGATCAGTTGGACACAATCCGTACATACTGGTGCATCAAAACTGATTGCAGCTAGTGTGCCCTCTTTTGATTAGCCATTCCTACAGCGTCTCTCGCTTGACATTGAATTTGACTCGAATTGTTATAGACAGTGCCAATCTGTGCTGCAGTTTGTCTCAATTGCCCTAATTGTCACAAGTATATATGATCTATCAAATTGGCAACAGCTTGCTATGCAAAAGGTTAAATCTAAACGGTGCATATTGATGGAGCAATTTAATTGATAAGTACATAAATCGAAAGTTATCGATGAATGTGAACGTCCGCTAAGACATAACAGCAAATTTAATAATTTAAAAAACGACGTATAAATATTAAGGTCGGAATAGATCGTAGAAACAAAGGTCTATGGGGGTTGTTGCAAATGAAGTGACAGTTTTTGAATTTTTAAGTGAAACTTTCGTGTAACAAACTTAATAAATATTTCTTTAATCAGAATAATCTCGAAATCGGAAGAACGAAAGGCAATAAATTCATTGAATGCAGTTTTTACATCAACTTCTACTCGAAACGTTTCTTCGTCTTACGTTTTAAAGTGAAAAAGTGATCTAGGTGCTTGAAGGTATAGAATTTCTATATTTACAAAAATAAAATGACAAATAAAATTAAAATGATCTACTATAATCCGTCGATTTCGATGCAAAATAAGAATTATCTGCATCGATTACTAGAAATAGAAATTAAATAGTAAATTCGTCCTTTCTTTATTCACCGTTTTCATAGTTTTATGATAATATATTGATAGTTCTAAACTTTTAGAATCTTCGTCTTTTAATATTCGGCTAGCCCGCCTGATTTTCGACATTATTTGGACATATAGCGGACAAATCTGATAATTGCCTATGTCAATCAACTTGGCATATACGAATATTATTGATTCGAAGAAACTTAACAGAGAAAGATTGGCTAAGTATACGTATATATAGATTTGTCATTGGAAAAATAAAAAGAAGTTCATTTTACGGAATAACATTCGGTGTTCATTTAATGAAAAGAACTGAAATTGGACTGTGATTCCAGTCTCCCGTCCGCAAAGTATTAAATTACAACTACACGATTCAGCCATAAATGCATCAAATCCGACGTCTCATAATCAGCATACATTTCTTGCTCACAGAGAAGTGAGCATTTGATGATCGCTACCGTAAGTCCCGCGCGACCGGCAGTTCCAGGAAAGACAAAGAAAGCAAGCGTGTAAAGCAGGCTGGAGCATACGAGCGGAACGAATCCTCCAACGAGAGAGAGACAAACATTTACCGGTGAACTCGAACTGACGCGATCATCGCCTCTTTTCGCCGGCCGGATTCCACGAGAAACTTGTACGCGCATCTGCGCGCGACAGATATGCGACGGATGGCCCGGGATCGTCTTGGATGATCGCGCGCGGAACTGGTCCCTTGCCAAAGCGCCATCGATCTTTTCCATCTCATCGAAGAAATTGCGCGAGCACGTGTACAGTGAAGAGCTTTCGTGCATGTTGCACGTTGCACGCTCCACGCTGTACCGGGCCGGGTTGTACGACGCGACGCGACGCGACGCGACGCGGGAGATTGATGCCGTAACGCGTTCGCGTTCGCGGGCCTGCGCCAGGAAACTACTAGATCGAATTGATGGCCGTTGATAGCTTCCGGCAACACTGTTCCCGCGAACGTCGTCTTCCAGGAACGCTTGACTCCCACGACCGATCTGTCATTTCGTGGTAACCATTACCGGGAGATTGTTTACGACAAATTACCTTCGATTAGATGCCAGATTGTTTCCACCGGGTCGTTACCACCGGTTGATTGACGCATTGTGCGGCCGGTACACTTAACCTAGCTACGTTCCTCAACTTAATTGTATGGGGCGCCAGGATATTATACGTTTGACCATCGCTACGTGATCCAGCAGTTGTAAACAAAGTTAATCGTAAAAATTAACATGGAAGAAATTAATCGATGAATCATGGAAAAACAAAACATTCTACAACTTTCAATTTTGCCCAACTCTGGTAATAATATTGGCTGTAAAAAAAGTATCGTAAAAATTAACTTTTTTACGCCTCCTTGATAAGCAATTAAATATACCCGATTATTATTCGATAGCACACACGCCATATGTGAATTGTCAAACTTGATTTTCTTGGAAATAATGGCTCATGTCTTTAAGCGTCTCCGTTTCGAATCACTATAATTTCAGATTCACGATCTGTTATCGTCGTTTAATTGACGATGAGATTGTTACATCATTCTGCAAGAGAACGATTGTAGTGCAAACTATGATTTCGTATGACATTTTCTTTTTCCGGTGAATAGGGTACGTTACAATTAAACAAATTTTGTTGCTAAATGCCAGATTGAGGACAAATGTATATAAATTTGTTTAAACCGTAATTAATGATTGAGCAAATGTGCAGAGTCACGCTGTGTCGAGCACGAGATAATTCTTTCCTAACCTGTACATATTAAAATGTCCACGTGTCACAATTCTCTCCTGTGTGTGTGTGTGTGTACGCATGAAGGGAATTGTACAATTGAGAGCTAAAGGAATAGGGAATGTAGGAGTTGCGGCAAAGTGATCTTCCTTTGCGTTTATTTATCATTGTCCAAGATGTATACGAATTAGCGTGATTCTACACCTCTGGATCGGTGGAGATCGGCTGAAAAAATGAACCGCAAAATTGTTCTTGATCTTAAAAATCAAGGTCAAAGGGTCGAATTTGTTGTATATATTACAACGTATAGTACTCATCCAGAGGAACAAATGAATGAAAGGAATCATGGGTCTCGAGTCAACTCTTGACATAAAAAACGATGATAAAAATGACGTATAACAATGGAACCATTGGGTCGGTCGAAATGTGTGTAGTTTCGTTTTTCAAAAATATTAAAAAAAGCCACACGATTCCGTATTGTGTCGATACAAAACAAGACTTCTACGAGCATAAGATTTCGAAGCTATCAGAAAAATGTGCAAAAGTTCTTCTTTTACTCTAAACATGAAAAAATTCTTTTTCATTTTCTCGTGAAAGAACGCGAAACAATTTTTGGGACGATTCAATATAATTTGTGGAATTATGCAACATTGTTAACAGGAAACGATATATCAATCACTATTAAAGGTTAAAACGTGAGACGCGATGTTAATTCATCGTGTCAACGTGATTTCACATGATGTGTGCAAAGCTGTTTCTAGGAAGAGAGAATTAGACACTTGATCGCATAATTGATAAATAATTGCGCAACACTGGAAAATACATTTTTTCATGTTATGCCACTATTGTTGTAAGCGTGCGACGTATATTCGGTCAAATATTCAGATTCTGAACTCTTAAATGTAAAGTACTGCCTAATCTCTGCTGAAAAAATAAATTGTATTAGAATCATTAGCATTTATACAATAATATTAAAAAACAATAAATATATTGATTTCCTTCGGTAGCATCGAATTCTAGAGATGAAATATATTTACATAAATCAATAGAAGTGTGGGATTGCAATGGGAAACGGGGAACTGCGATTGTTTTCCAGAAATAGAAATTATTCATGACTCTATCTAATACGTAAAAACTGCGAATCTCTGTGCACTTAACCTTCAATGTTCCAGAACAAAAGTCGAATTTTTCTTATTTATATAAGTTCAGTTATTTATTTACAGAAATTTACGTAAATATAGATTGTGTTAAGATAATTTTCATAACGAGTAGAATACGATACGATAAAGCAAATTGTTCGATTTCTGACACTTATAATGTGCACTACGATGAAAAGCTTCGGAAAATTATTCGTTTATTTTTTATTATTAGGTTAGCATGTAATCGCGAAACAGAAGTGTACGAATTTAAAGATAAGCCATTTGGTGTGATAACGATTTGATGGCGCATTTCGTGGATGACAAACGTTAAGCAAATTTTTAGTCTTGTTTCCTGACAGAGAATCGCATTCAGAAATTGCTAGAGAATTGTCCGTCATTATGCACGTTCCTCGGTCTGTTTGCCAAACGTAGTGCTTTCGGGGATTACTTCGAGCGCGAAATGGTACCGTGTTTCTTTCGAGTATACCGGGGAAGTTATCAGTTGTTGCAATAAAAATGACGGAAGTACGACGGCACCGCCAGCTGCGTGACTCTCACGAATCGACGGGAACGTTTGGTTAACGTGAGCGGGTGGACTCGCAGACCTTGTCCCCGGTATTGTTCGCAGAACGATGCTAAATTGTCCCTTAACTATGCATGAACAGCATTTTCACAGCCCTACGGCGTTCGGTGACTGATTTTCGTGACTCTGTCGTTTCAGTCCTTCCGGCAGTATTCCTTTCATGGCCATCAAATTACTGAGCGCCAATATTTCTTTACTAGCCATCGCATTAGCGATGCCCATAAACCACGACGAATGCGCGCTTCGAGAACCGAAAAATCTTTCACAAGTTATGTTCACCGATTATGCACCCTTTGCGCGCTCGGATGTTCCTTCTTAGAGAACACAACAAAACTGTTTTATATTTCACTCGTTCATTTTCATCAGAAACGCATAAAATCCGCACTTTTCTTTTTCACTATTAATTTCTCGTGATTAATTGTCACCAGTATGCTACTGATCTCTATGCGTTCAAATTGTGTATAAACTCGACGAAACCTACAAATCAAAATCGAACAGAGAAAACGTTCTGAAATTTATAAAATCTATAGTATTAAAATAGTCCTCGCTACTGACCAGAAGAAAAAAAATGTATAAAATACGAATGTTCTCACTTTACCTTTTCTCTAAAGAATCTGTTATTCGATGGACAAAATTTTGCCCTGATTTATTGTGTTTATAAAATGAAACAGAAAAATATGTATATCCATTGAAATTCGGAGTCTAATTGTGAACGATGAAATTGATGGGAATCGGTAGAAGTTGATCTGCATAATATGACTGTCGGGCGACAAATTCTATTTATAAAGCTTTTGCGAAATCTCGAGCCATGTAATTAGCCGTTTTAGAGAGAATTTACAAGAGGAAAATTTGTTTATTCACCAATTCTAATGCTGGGACTGAGTTTCTAATATCTGTAATTTTATCACAGTGTGTTACGAAACTGCTAGTTAGATAAAAATGATTTACACTACTCGAAACATTTTTCTTGCACGTACTAAAAGGTATCTTGACGTTAATATGTTAGCTTGATAAGATAAACAGTTTTTTTGCTTTTACGGATTCTCGAATCACGTAATTAGCAGTTTCAGACGTAATCGAGAACGAGAAAATATGTTGATTCATCAATTTTAATCCTAACAATGAGTTTCTTATATCTGGTATTCTGTTACAATGTTGTGAAACTGCTAGTTACACGATTTACACTGTTCAAAAAAGTTTTCTTGCATGTCGTAATGGATATCTTGACACTTAGATGTTAGCTTAATAAGATTGAATAAAACAAATTGAGATTAACTTAATAATAATAAATAATTAACTTAATTAATTACATAACCGGCCGAAATTCACCAGCTCTCGCAGAAAAAAAGAATAGTAAAGACACATTAATGTTACACGTTAAGTGCCTCAAGGACAATTTACAGATCTTCACCGATCCAAAGGTGTAGAATTCTCCCATGATAGTCGATAGAAAATATTTTTATACACCCTAATTTCCAAGCAGCTTGCAGATGGAAAAACTAGTTTCCGTCGTCGGGGGGAATATTAATCGTAGCCAGCCAGGCGAACGAACGATCCACGGAAGGTCCCGTCACGAACAGAATTCTTCCACTAGTTCATCGTGCGTCCTGGCGGAACCGTGGATCGCCGGGTCGGGCTGAGGGGCTCGCATTTTGTGTCTCGTGCGGGAGCCCCGGTAGCATAATTAAGAAGAGCCCTCCCCCGTCTTGGTCGGCTCGCGCTTGGTCGCGACCTCGGCACTACCTGGCACTCACGTTGCCGTTGCCAGACATGCGAACTCGGGTCGTGTCTCGCAAGGAGAACGTTTCGTCGCTCGCACAATGTCATCGGCCAGCCTTGTACTCTTACTGCTAATCGCTCGGGACTGACGTTGCTAAACGCGGCGGCGTTCGATTACACGAGGATCACGGAATGCTACACGAAAGAAGTAGGAAAGCTGCACGGTCATCGCGTGATCGTGAAAAATACAAGCAACTATTAACGAGCTACCGCAACACTTTGTGCACTCGGCAGTCGTCTCTCGATGGCGATACTTCGTAGGGTTTGGAAGTTCTGCGAATTCTTGTGATTTTTACGTGAAACACAGGTTCTGTATTTCTTTTTGCAAATTACGAGTGCGTTAGAACTCCACACATTTATCCGATCTCCGTTTATTCGAGCAAA